CAGCGAACCAAATGATAAATGATTTGTTCTGCGTCATCTAATATGACAACATTTTTGCAGTCGATGCACGGACAATATATGTGCTTCATCTTCTCTTTGCATGCATGCCTCCTAGCAGCATCAATAAACCTATGAACCTGGAACCGGTATGATGGATCTAATCTTGATAAGTTGTACATCCATGAGCACCTTTCCATCTTGAGTTGTACAAAAATTATAATGATAATGTGTAATTAAATATGTATATTTAAAAACATTGTAATTATTTAAATAAACTTAAAAACCAATATCTTACTTAGAGAGTGTAATTCCAGAGTGTAATATCTTACTTAGAGACAATCTAGCAATAATTTCAGAAAATAAATGTGCATTTCGATCTGTTACTTATTTTCATAATTTCATGCTACATTGTAATCACTAACAAATAATTTAAAATATTTATATGAATAACTTAATAATCTATTTTAATGAATAAAGTCACAATCAAAATCTAGATAACAATATTTCACATTATTTGATGATTGATGAGATATGTATATGATGAGAAGAAACATAATAAGCCAACTAATCTAAAATTTTTGAGACAATCATGAAACCCTAGATCTAAATTACTACTATTCTCTCTCTCCTCAAACACAACCATGAAACCCTAGGCCTAAATTTTGCCACAAATTGAGAAGGATTCATGCAAAAAGAGATATGAGGCATACTAATCCAAACTTTTTGAGACAATCATGAAACCCTAGACTAAAACTACTACCATTCTTTCTCTCTCTCAAAACACGACCATGAAACTCTAGATCTAGTTTTGACTCAAATTAAGAAGCACTCATGCAAAAAGAGAGATGAGAGGCATTAACTAACCTTCTTGGGTGACCTCCTTCGAAGAAATGAAGAGCAAAACCTCCAATTGTATTTTGCAATTTTTTGACCTCCAAGTTCGCCACCAATAGAAGGTGGCTCGGCTATACAGTTTTGGTCGGGGGATGAAGAAACAATAATTATAGCCTTTTTTTTTACTGGCGGATCGTTAAGCCAACCGCCAGTGTAAAACAAAGACACTGGTGGATGGCTTATGGTAACTGTTAGTGTAAATATTGCATTTGCACTGGCGGTTGTCTTAAGCCACCACCAGTGTAAATCTCATTTACACCGGCGGTATTCTTAACGAGCCACCAATATAAATCTATTTACTCTGGCGGTTTTTAGCTTGGGCCCACATATTTCTTTTGTACCGGCGCCAGCTCCTTATGAACCGCTAGTGAAGAAAATCGCTAGCACCAAGAAAAATCGTTTATGCACTAGTGAAGTGCAAAGCCACGTTCACGAAAAGCCGCCGGGTCGCATGTTTCTCCGCATGAAAGATACTGACGACAAACAGAGGGAAAACGAAGAAAGGGAACTACGTCTCCGGAACCATTTCTTCTATCTCATTTCCACAACATTGATTATCAATGCGAGTCATCTCTTTAGCGGGAAGAGACATGCATGTCGTACTATATGCACACCCTACAAATGAAAGTCTGAAACAGAACCTATATGCACGATGCTGTCAAGTTCTGAAAACTGGATCGGCAAGTGCTGTGATTGTGTACACGCTTCTTCTTACTCCGGGGCTGGCTCCGGCTCCGGCACCTCCAGGAAGCGGAGAACGTACATGCCGTCGTTCTTGTCAAGGATGGCTGCCCCGACGACCGTGCCGTCCGCCAGCATAATCTCACCTTTCCCCTGTCCGAAGCAGCTGTGCATGCCGTGGTCCTTGTCGAGCTGGCTGATAGATATCAGGCTCGTCTCAAGCCCCTTCACGAGGTACACCTTGGGGATACTGAAGGGACCCCACTCTATGCGGCCAAAGCCCAGGACATCCTCGACGGTGCCATTTGCCATCTTCACCGACTTGGGGTTAGCGAAAAGCTCGAGGTCCTGAAGGAGCTCATCGTCACCGACGGCGTGCATGCTGGCGCCCGTGTCCGCGATGAGACGTCTTCCGGGCCTTGCGACGCCGCCAAAAGCAGCCAGTAGACCTGTCTGGGAAAATAATTAAGGAAAAAAAGGATTAGCCTGGAAAACTTTTATGCGTGTAATCCTTTTTAGGACGCAATTTAATAGTAACAATTTTTATAATAACATGAAGCAGGTCCACATATATATATATATATATATATATATATATATATATATATATATATATATATATATCAATACAATAGTGAAGCTGTATAGGTCACGGCGACTTATCACCGTTACATTTTCCGCAGCGGCCTGCAAGGAACCTGAGGGATTAATTTTTGATACAGCTAATGGTAGCCTTCGATTACATATGGCCACAGCCTCATCTGGCGGCCTAGGGCACGGCTTATTTGAACACGATGATGACATGCACCGGTACAAAAACCACAAGTAGAAATCAGTAGACATGAAAATCATTTTTCACCAATAGTTTCAAAAAACCGGCGGTGAAGATGGTGATTGCAAAAATATGTGACAAAGTAAAACTTAATTCTCGAAAATATTAAAGCTTGAGGCCCATGAATGCACATCCATTGGATTGGGCCCACTTATGCGCTATGCGTAGCCAAGCTAAGAACCTAAAGGAAGAGCGAACTATGGTCGTTGATGTCATATGGATCGATAGGATTGACTATAGCAAAAACAACAGATATATAAGGCCGAAACCCTAGTCGCATATCCCTCACACTTCTTTTTTTCCATCACCCCTCGGCCTCTCCCCTCAAACGGCGCAGGCATGGCCCATGGCTCGCTGCGGTCTGGGCGAGGCCCCTAGCTCCCAGCGGCGCGGGCATGGCCCCCCGACCCACGGCGGCGTAGACGCAGCCCTCGGCCACAGGAGGCGTGGGCCCTTTTCCACTCGGCAGCGCTGCCGCGGCGAGGCCGCCAAGAGGCGTGGGCGCGCCTCCTAACGGGCCGGCCTCTTAAGGGCCAACTCTAAGGAAACCCCAGGTATAAATGCTGGTTGCGCCTTCAGATTAATCTCACTCCCCTCAGCCGCCACTCCACGTTCTTCACTTCTTCGCCATCCGACTCCTGGCCGGTGCATCCCCACTCCTCCCTCCTACCCTGACATGCACATTCTCCCTTCCCCCTTCGCATTGATCCCTCCATAAATGATGGCAGCGGCACAATGTTTCCCTCCTCCCTCCCCTCCCTTCTTCCCAGTAAAATTTGGGATGCTCCCCTCCCACCCCTTTTTGCTCAACTACCGCAAGCATAGGAGCGATGGTGTCATGGACAAGATTGCGGTCCACGACTCATGTAGATTTGGATCCACGACTCCATGCACCTTTCTCCACCATCGATGGTATTAAGGGCTTGTTTGGGACTGCTTCACGAACTCTGCTCCACAAACTCCATCATAGAGCAACTCCACAACAGACTAGAGTTTGTGGAGCACCCTTTTAGGTGCTTTCACAACTCCACTTTTTTTTCTGGAGCAGAGTTGTGTGGAGCTGAACCTGTTTGGCTGAAAAACATGGAGTAGAGCAGTCCCAAACAGGCCCTAAATTAGGTCCACTACTCCATGTAGATTTGGATCCCCCCATGTTGATTTGGATCCACGACCCCATGCTCCTTTCTCCATCATCGATGATAAATATTTGTCGTCTTTTCCATAGATTCGGTCTAACTTAAAAGTTTGATTTAAGAAAGGACTACAAAATGTTTGAAGACGGAGGGAACTGTAAGACAATTGTGAGGAGCATGGCAGTTGGTACATACCTTTCCTTCATTGTGCAAGAATAAAGCGTATAATAAGCCTCCAAGAAGGGTCGCCCCGGTCATTCCCCACATGAGGACCTGCAACGGAACGGGGGGCATGATGGCCGCGAGCAGGTCCACATACGAGAGTGGCACAAAGGCCGCGCGGCGGTTTGACCGGTTGGTCGCCAAGATGCTAAAGATGATCGTGAGGATTACAATACACAGCGACTTGAGCCATATCAGGCGGCGGCCTCCGGCGGCAGCGTCTCCCTGAGCAGGGACCAGGGGTTCCACCTGTTCCTCTGCCATTACTACGCTCTTCTCAGTTGGCACGGAAACTTAACACCAGGCTGGCCTAATCATGCCGCCAGCAGAGGGAGTGCGAGAGGTAGAATTCTATGCTGTGGAGGAGCCAAGTAGGCAGAGGTAAAATGCATGATTATTGCCGGCGATGCAGACACCAGGGTGATAACAACTGACAACAGGCCGGCCGGCCGGCGAAGTTGTCGTCGATGGCACCAAGAAACAAGAATGAACAAAGCAGAGTGACAAAGGAATTCCCCCCTCGCTCTCTCCTTCCCTATGATCTCTTGGATACATGTGGGATCTCCGCGCGGGTTGCCTTGCCACACCCATACTGCCGGAGTACCCGAGGACACCAAAGCCTCCAGGATTCGAATCGGTTTCTGCAAACTGAATCAAATTATTGTATCCGGCATGAGGACCCAGATCGTTGTTAACGCCAGACCGGGGCTTCTTCGACTTTCCCGCCAGATGCTCATCCCCATCGTCATTCTATGACAGTGACAAGGAGGGTCCGGCGGAGTCGTCGATGGCGTATCCATGTCTTGTTGCCTGGTGTGGCCGTGGGTAAACCAGGCCCTAGCTTCCCCTCTTTTTCTTGTCATGCCTTGAGCAGACTTTGCCATGGCATCGCCGTCTCCTCCTTTCTTCTCGCTGTACTTGTTGCAGGAATGGTTCTCCACTCAGTTCGCCGGTCGACCACAGGGGCGACCTGGCTGCACCGATGATGATGAAATCATCCTGTCTGCCAGGTACGGTTTCCGGTTTTTCCAGTTCATGCAGCATCACCATCACCGCAGCCGTCTTGGAGCTCGATCCGTCAATTGCTACTATATATTTATATATATAAACCTAAGTATTTTGCTAGACAAGAGGACCCAAAGCAAGGGATTCTAGGAATTGAGGACCTAAAGCAAGGGCTTCTGGAAATCTCGGAAACATGTGATGCGGAATTACTACAAGATGCAAAAGAGGGCGAAATGTTGCAACAAGACAGCCCCAGCACGGATGGTCGTCGATCCCAGCCCAGCCATGAGGGCATGTCTGAGATGACCACGTGGTTGTCATCATCGGCCAAGCCTTCTCTACCGTGTTTCATCTTGGATTCGAGAGCTGCCTGCCACGTGGCTAGCAACGTGTCAGTATTCTCGTCGTCGTCGTCGTCGTCGTCGTTCACAGCGGTGGCACCAGCAGCAAGCAGCGCCGCCGCCACTTACCTCGCGCACGACGGGACTCAACTAACCGTCGCCGGGGTCGGCACCGTATCGTGCGACAACTTCCATCTCACCGACGTTCTGTACGTCCCTGGTATGCGTACCGGAGTCAATCTGGTCTCCGTGCAACAGCTAGCGGAACGTGACTACCTCGTCATGTTCGGCGGCGACCAGTGCTCTGTCAGGGAACGGAGCAGCGGCAAAATCGTTGGGAAGGGCCGCATGCACGACGACGACGGCCTGTACCACCTCGATTTCCTCACGATCCCATAGCCAGCATGACGAGATAGTCCTCTCCGGGCATCTCGCAAACCTGGCCCATGCTGCAGCTGGTCCTGGCTATATATGCTACACTATTTCGATCATGTCCTATTGTGTCCTACTACGATATGTGTGACCTGTCAAGTATTTTCTTTGATATGCCGTCTCCGCGCTATCATATATCTGCATTTACCGTGATTTTCTGTTGCATGTACAAGTAGCAAACGTGTATGTGCGAGTATCAGTGCTGTGCCTTAAAACGTATATATACCTTATATTAATATCCAGTGTGCTTGGTGAAAACTAGCCAATGCTTTACTGTTGCTTTTATTTATTCGCCTACTACACGGAAGACGGAAGACGGAACACGAAGCAAGCAAAGAAAATTGATTGACATAATACTTGATCAACTGGCGGCTTAACAGCCCCTTTCGGTACTCTGAACCCAAAAACTATATGGTTTCTATAGCTATTAATTAGTCTGCTAACTAAACAAAAGGCTGATGTGTCACTGTAGTTATTGAAGAAAGAGGAGGGAATGGTTTCTTTATATAGGAAACCACGTCTACATGAAAAACATGATACAAAGAGATACGATCGGTAGATGCTATGAGTAAGAAGATTGACGATTGGATGGATATATTTTATTTGTAAAGAAAGTCTATTGAGAGCATAGTTTCCATACTCTACTACATGAATCTTTTCGCAGGTGGGCATTTTGGGTTCACCAAGACGGGCAAAGGGTCCGCCTCCGCCAAAAGGCCTGCGTTAATGTGGCTTTATGGAGGCGAGCGCTTTGTCCACCTTCGTTAACCACATTAACGGAGATGCGCATCTTAACACGTCCGCCTCTGTTAATCCCATTAACCGAGGCGAGCACCTTAACATGCCCGCCTCCGTTAATGTTCTCCAGAAAATCCAAAAAACCAAAAAAATTGTAACTTTGGAGAATTAAACTCGCGACCTACTACCACTAGTACAGAAACAAGCTGTACTCCTAGTTGGGAAACCCCTTCAGTCCCGGTTTCCCAACCGGGAGCACGAATCCGGGACTAAAGGGCCCCTCGTTTATTCCCGGTTTCTCGCCCGGGACTAAAGGTAAAGAGGCTTCCCGGCTTGGCCACGTGGGCTGGCCCTTTAGTCCCGGTTGGTATTACCAACCGGACTAAAGGTTTTCTTTTTTTTTGTTTCTATTTTCAATTTATGATTCGTTTTGGTTTTCGAATAGGTTTCTAATACGCATTCTACGCTGCTAATAATATATGTATTCTATATGCTTATAATGTTCGAACATTTTGTACAAACTAAAGTATGAAACTAACGTATATATTACATGCTACATATATTGTACGTTATTTTATGTACATATAATATGTATATATATATTACAAATAAAGCTTGCATTGTATATTCTATCATATCCTTGGGATAACAAATTCACTCCATCTGGTTTGGCCTCCATGTTTCGTTCATGTCATTGTAGAACTCGCCGGCGGGGTTTAAGACCTGATCATTAAGAAATCCTGCTATGGTCTCTTGAATTGCTTTCAGTTGGTCACGTCGTATGACTTTTTCCTTCAACCATAGAGTCTTCAATAAAAGTTAAAGGAAAAATATTAATATATATATATATATATGTGTGTTGGTCACATTACTTATATATATGAGCAATAAAAGAAATTGTGAATATATGAATATATTTATATAACGTACTTTGAGGATCTCTTCAGGAGTTCTTTTTAGTACGCCATGATGAACTCGCAAACATAGTATCCGCAGTAGTTGGTCCCCTGTTCTTGCCTCAGAACCCACTTTTATGAGAAAAAAGATCCGGTAAATTAAAAGCATGCATAGTGGAAATATATATATATATATATATATGTAGCTAGTACTTACTTTGTTTGCAATTATTTCCAGTGGCGCTTTGCAATGTTTCATGTGGTGTTCCTCAATGAAAGTTTTCCAAACACTACGCCCAATAAAATAAAAAGTTAATTTGGCCTTTAATAATTGTTGCAGTTAAGAGATCGGGGTATATATAGTTGCTAGAGAGACCAAATTACCCTTGGATAATATCTATCATGTCTTGGTACTCTGTTTGCTCTTTTCTTAACGAGTCTAAGATGCTCAACCGACTATTGGCCATATTGATGACCATCAATATCCAGTGATTGTTGCATATGTTTTTATACACAAATATGATCGACATTAACTAGAGTCAACATATATATATATGGGAGATAGCTTAGTTAGTAAGTAAATAATTAAACAAATGTCACTATAATCGACATTAATTATTTAACACTCACTTAAAGTTGTAGGGAAAGAGTATGTCCTTGTTTTGTTGGTTCACTAAGAACCTCATGAGATTTTTCTCAAGTTCAGCTTTCCATTCAGGCGGGGCATTAGGGTGTTTGAATAAGACATTTGGATCAATGAAACCAACATCATTATCCTTTCTCTTTTTGAGTTCTGTCATCTCATATCTACATATATAAAAATATAGTGTGAGGATATATAATTTATATATATACATGTAGCTTTATATATATACACTTTAATAGTAGAAAATAATCACACTTATAGACAATAGTAGCTAATGAGACTTTTGTTGAGAGAGTCCAGGTGGCATAGTTGGTGTAATTCTAAAAACTCGACATATATAACGTCATCGCCACGGAAGTAATGTTGGTTTCTAACTCTGACAGAAACAAAGGTCTCTCCCCGTTCACACGCCGCCATGTACCACTTGTTTAGCAGGTACATTTGCGTACGCAGTTCACCTAAAGCCTCAGGGTTATATAGACTCTTTCCATGTTCAAATTTCTTCCAAGGATCCACTTTCGGAGCAGATGGTCCTTCAGCGAGCACTTGGGCAAGGTCCAAACCAGTATCCTCGTAAAACCGAACCAGGTCCTCAAAATCGACGTCCAGTAAGTCTAAGTTTGAACCATATTCATTACGAATGACAAGAGGGGGGACTGATTGTTGCGATTGTTATCCGAGTTGTGCAACACCTTTCCCTGCTCTAGTCTTTTTCTGCGCCACCTCAAATGACTTGGTGAGAGAGCGGTCGTAGTCCGATTTTGGCAGGATCTTTTGAGATTCCCGCTTTTTCTGGTCCACCTTCTTTCTTAGAAGATCTGGAGGTAGGTAGAAGTACGGTTTCTCCGGGTTCTCCCTCGCTTCTCGTTGCTTTCTTACTTTTTCGAAGAACTATTCACATCTTTTTGTACTGCAGCATTTAATTCCTTTTCACTTTTCTCGTAAGACAGTTTTTAGGGAATAACTGGATTAGAGGAGGCTTTCTTCTTTGCTGGCTGGTGGGCCAACGGCTTTGTTTGCGGGGCGAACCTCTTAGGAGCTGGCTGCTTCTTGGTCATCAAGGGAGGCAGGTCAGCCGTTGGAGACCTCCTTGGAGGTGGCGGCGGTGGCGGCGTTGCATAATCATTGCCCGGAGCACTATGATGATCTGGAGATTGAATAATTGGACTTAGGTTGGCGGAGGCCCTGCTATGTGAGTACAAAAAAGAATAATTAGGTATAAGAAATTGTTATTATTAATCATGCATGTCAATAGAGAATTAGTAAAAAAATTGTTTCATTCACTTTTGTCCGCACCTATTGTCTGGCAGTTGAGGAAGCATCAGTGGACTAGAGACCCCAGGAATAATGATGTAGCACTTGCGCCATAGTATGAATGTCTTCTCCCCATCACCTTCTGAAATGTCAAGAGCTAGATCACTAAAACCTTTGTTAACTCTATCCACTGAGACGCTAACATATCCAGGTGGTATTATTGCCCCATGGATTCTTGATGTCTTGGTAGGATCTAGAGGAGAAAAAACACCGAGAGCCACCATGATTGTGGCATTCCCTTTTGGAATATGTAGCTCACATGATGTAAACGGTGTAGTGATGTCATCCACGGGGAAACGTAGCATTGCGTCATCTTGATTTGGCAACTCCGTGGAAGCGCAGCTGCTTTTCAACTTATCAGAGGGGCTAATATTAATGTTGATTCCTAGATCTGATGCCTGTCTTTGGGCACTCATTGCTATCTGCACTTGCTTTATGATTTCCTCCTGCATTCTAGCTTGCATGTCTTTTTCGCGCTCCTATGCTTGAAGTAACGCCTCCCGTGACTCACGAACATATTCCTCCAACCTACTGATCCGCGCTGCTTCCTCATCGTTCCTTCTTTACCGGCTTCTGTAGGTATCTCTGTCGTTAGGGAAACCATGCTCCCAAGAAATGTTCCATCCTAAACCTCTCGTTCGGCCACTGTGTTTAGCAGTCCCGATGGCATACGTCAGTTCATCCTTCTTTCTATTGGGCCTAAACGCACCAATAGCTTTAGCTTGTAGAGCATAAGAAAATCTTTGTATTGCTCTTTCGAGTTTTGGGCCATGAACCAGCTTCCCGGTCTCTAGGTCCAGTCTTCCCCCATGAGCGAAAAACCAATTCTTCACGCGTTTGGGCCAATTGAGTGATTCTGGTGTGATACCCTTGGCAAGAATGTCCGCTTCCATTTTTTCCCACTTGGGAATGGCAGTCGCGTAGCCACCTATTCCCATGCCATGGTGGTATACCTTCTGTCGGGCATTCTCTTGGTTCCTTCCCACCCATTTCTCACGCTCTTTCGATATCTTGTACTGTATAAAATCATTCCAGTAGTGCCTCAACTTCGCGAGCGGGCCCCTAGTATTAAAATTGGGCGTTAGGTTCTTCTTGACGTATTTCGTGTATAGGAATTTCTTCCAAGTCTGGAATTATGTGGCCATCTTCTTTATAACCCACTTTCGAACTAGCTCATTCAATTCATCATCGTTGATATCATCATAATCATCCACTTGCAACGTGAAATGTTGAAGGATATCATCCTAAATTAAATTCTTATCAAGATCAGAGACAAAACTAACATGAGGCTCGTTGATCTTTTGCTTCCATTCACAGGCACTGATCGGAAGTCTATCCCTTACAAGGTACCCACAGTGTTGCACGAATTTCCT